TGAAAATGTATAAAAAGCTCCTGGAAAGCAGATCCTTCTGAAAATATGTACATCTTTGAGGCCAAGCTCTAAGTAGCCACTGTGGATAGTTTCATCTATACATAAATCACATTATAAAGTAAAACATTTTCATTTCAATGCGGTAAATTAAACAAATGTTTTCCAAAATATTCATGATAATCTGCAATTACAGCTCGACTAAATCTTGCACACAAACACTCAGGGTTGGATAATAAATCACCAACATCTGCTGCGTCTCTGCGATAATGAAATCATTAAACTAACCGGAGCTGAATTGAACAGATGTAAAAGCTAAATTAGTGTTTCACCAACAAATTGAGAGAAAGTTGCGGAGTGGGACGATTTCACGAGGGAGGGCGGGGCCCTTCTTGTGTCAACCTGCATTACTTTCTCTAATATGACACAGTCAACCGCTGGTGCTCAGTCAGGACAAGTGCCCTTCAAATAACATATTCCTCTGCCTGATTTCAACATGCAGACGCATCAGGCTCAGCTGCCTCGGCGCCTGACCTCTCCAAGCGCCTGCTCTCCACCACACATTACAGTTGTATAATGAGGAATAAAAAAAAAAAAAAAAAAAAGAGCGTTGGCTACAGTTTTAAAGGTTAGATGTGCAGTCAATCGGCGGGAGCTTCAAGCATATGCATGACAGAGCGTCTGAATGTTTCTCGATCCCAGACGAAAGCGGTTTGAGAAATGCGTCAAGAGCGCCTCGCGTATCGATCGCCTCGCGTCCGGTGTCTGCGTGGGAAGAGGACAGTAATCAATGGAACCACCTGCAAACCGTCCCCACCTGACATTTCAGTCAGACCCAAGCAAACACCCAATTATTTGACGCGAGCAAGAAAAAACAAAAAAGAAGCAACGATTATGAAAAATACAGAAATATCCACAGCCAGAGGAAAGTGTTTTATGATTTCCTGATGAGCTCAATACAAGACGAAAATGGTCCTTTAGCAGTTCTAGTCCGCTTCTTTTTTTTTTTCCTTTAACTTTTTAACGTGTGATCCGAATCAGCGTGGGCAGACAGAGGGCTGTGAAAAACTATTTGCACCTTTAGAGATTTCTTCTTTCTTGTGTTTGTCGCACTTGCAAGCATCAGAAGGCGCATTATGTTAATACTGAACAGAGACAATCTTGGCGGATAAAAATATTTTAAAAAGTATTTTCATGGTTTCATTTTTTTTAAGGTTAAAAGTTCATGTAGCGTAAGGTAATGTTATCCCTCATCCTTAAGAAAAGTAAAAAATAAAAATCATGAACAAAAGCCACAACCCGGGCCTGATTATTGCCTGAGCTTTAAAATTTACTTTTTCGCATGAGGCCAGAGTGGTTTAGATAGATTTTTTTTTCCCTTTTACTTTGATGATCTAAAGCACACGAGAGTGATTAGCAGCAAAAACAGAATAGATATATTAGAGGAAACGCACCGTCTCAAGAGGAATGTAATGTGTGGACTGTTGCTGCATGATTAAAACAACTGCCACAAGTGTAAAATCTGGATTTTTAACTTTTGGTCGCTTTTCTTATCAAATCCCACTCCTGTGTCGCCATTCAGGACTTCAGAGCTTGCGAGTGGCCTTTATTTTTACAGATAAGCCCCATTGTACAGCAGAAAAAGACCCTTTTGTGCGAATAACCGAGCAGTCAGCCAGATGCAGCCGATGCTTTCTGATGCACAGCTCAGAGCGGGGTTATTATTTAATGCGTCTGCTTTTGAGATACACTGCGACATCTTTGGAAGTCGGAAGCACAAAGGAGTTGGGGAGGGTGGGAGGAAAAAGGAAGGGGAAAAAAAAAAAAGGGGGTCTTGCTGTACGCTGCAAGTTTTCAAACTTAAGTTTTTCTGGCACTCCTTGATCACACAATTCTCCAGCACCAGTGAGAAGGAGCTTTCAATAATTCATTCATAAGCACAAAATGTGTTGGTGCTTTTCAAGAGGTGGCTTGCGTCTGCAGTCGCTGTTTTATTAGGAGCCGAAAGAAGGAAAGGGGAGAAAAGAAAAAAAAAAAGAAAAAACAACAACAACATCACAGTTCCAAATGCCAACGCTTCCTGCCACTTTCTCTTGCTTTGAAGTAGAAAAAAATATATACATAATCAGAATGGAATTGCAAGCCCAGCTCAGCTCAGCAGTCTATCTGCCGAACTTATCACTTCTGTGGAATACGCTGCATATAATTTAGAATGAGCCTCCGTATCGGTTCCTACTACAGAGCATGATACAGTTATGATCAGATGTTACCATTTGCATAATATTCTTTGGGCTATTAATTATTATTAGACCCATGTTTTCTTTTCCCAGAGTGAGATAATGACAAATGCAATGTTATGTAACATTGTTATCTACATACAGGCTGGTTTATCACCTCGTGGTTTTATCCTGTTGAAACAGCTAATTCACCATGTAGCTGCTGATTTAATGGCAAGTGAAGGATTTTGGAGATAATCCAGGCTTTTCATTATTCTATCCTCTATGTTCAATGTTCCCGAACCATTTTTATCCCCTTTCATCTGAGGGTGGACAGTTTAAATCTTCAAGACCTTGGCTTGCATCCTTAAAGATTTCTTCTGTCCATTTTCTTTTTTGGTCAAACTGAAGTGTATTAAATCAGGATTCCCAGGTTCGGTCCTCGAGAGCTACCATCCGTCAACTTTTAGATGCAGCCCTTCTCCAACACGCCTCAATAAAATGAATAATTTGTAGCCAGACCTTTGCGGAGCTGATGAGGGAATTCGACCATTTGATTCATGTGGACTGCAGCAGGGGTGCACCCGGAATTTGCAGGGTAGTAGCTCTCGAGAGTTACCGCTGGAGTTTTATTTCATATAAATTCTAAGAGGAAAGTAGCCTCAGACCGTTGCCCTCCCACTACCGCGTTTGAATTTAAATACAACATCCTTTTCCTAAAATTCTTGGGTTTTTTTGCTCCAAATGGAAAACTTTTCAAGGAGTTTGTCGGAATACGGTCAAAAAAACCTTTGAGGTATAACAAAAACATGATAGCTTTGCATTCAGTTTGATCATATGTTGTTAGGGCTGTAGAAATTTATGGATATAACTGTTGCATATTATTATTTTTGTCTTTATCTATTTTACAAACCTTAACTCATGGAAATGAGACTGCAGTCTTGGATTTCCTGAATGAGTCTCAATTGTTGGACAGTGGCTCTCACTGGGGTTCACTGGAGCCCCAAAGTCTGAGAATTGGATTTTATCACAATTTTCAAACTGACATGTCAATTACTTCAATTTTCTTAATTTTTGATTGGGAGGTGGTGCTTTTAAAAACATCTTGCCAAACACGTTCTATTTTAGTAATTTCTTGATTGTAGAAGTCTGGCAGTAATCAGGCATTGGTTTTACTAAAGAAACTGGAGTAAAAATCATGACCAATTCATTATTTTGTATGGCCGTGATTATAGTTACACATTGGGGCAAGTTGGGTTGAATAGAGAGTTTTCCTTATTTAAGGAAATCAATTTGAAGCACCAAAATACATCAAAGATCTGTTGTCATGCCAACCTTCCAGACCAGTTCTCGTCTACTCTGCATCCCCAGATCCAAACATGGAGAACTTGAACATCTTTGTCGGGTGTATGTAAACTTCTGACCAGAACTATGACACATACAGACATGAGTTCATTCAACAAAATACAATGTTACAACACTGAATGGGGTCTCGGTTCTATGACAAGTCCTATAATTGTTGGGAATGCAGATTCGTGCAAGTCAAGAGGATTCTATGAAAAGCAACAACCTCACTACACAATGAAAGAGAAATGCATATGCCCATATGGCCTAATAAAGCATACAGACTTTCTGTGAACAACATGGAAACAGATGACTGCAGGAAGTGACAGATGCGTAAACAGAGAGGAGCTTAAAAAATAAGAAGTGGGGGGAATGTGGAAATGTCTTTATAGGAAACCCAATAAAAAGACAAAAGAGCACAACAGCATCCACAAAATTCAGTTTGTATGTAGATGGGTTGTTACGCTATGCATGAAATGAATCTTACTCGAACGGATCCGAGATTGCTTCGATATGCCACAAACAAGTCTCTATCAGGTCGCAGTTTGCTTTATACCACACTAAAAACAAGATAAATCGAGTTGTTTTTGTACGACTAAAGGATTTTAAACACTAAACAGTTTTGATCATAACTACAAAATGATCAGTTCTCTTTCAGGGATGAATTGTCTGGTTTAAATTGACATGTTGGACTGAAAACCGAGTTGCTAGGGTAATTAACGCAGACTTTGGGGGTAGAAATAATAAGATGGGATTAGATGGAACTCATTGCCCTCCGAGAGCTTTCCCCATTGTTCAATTAACTTTGCAAATAACCTGGATAGATTAAAAGAACGCAGCAAAATTCATTTTCCACACGCGGAGGAATACTTTATGAATTATGCAACAATGACAACAATGAAAAAAAAAGCGTATATGCAAGCACATTGGATGCTTATTGTGTAGGAAGCATGATCTACACAGGAGCTCAAAGCAAAAGAAAAAGACGCATTTTTCTCGGCTGAAACCACATATTGCTTTCTCCTCCATTTCTATCCGTCTTTGGCACACCACGGCTCCTTTAACCTTCTACGTCTGGAACTCAAATGAGAAATTTAGTCGCTCACCCTGGGAACCAGGCTCATTAAAACATATTGGGCTTCCACTCATACTTTTTTGTATCCAGGCCATGAATATGCATTATTCATGGTTAGGACATCATCGCTCTCATTGTGCTCCCGCCGAACGCCGCGTTTCAACCCAGGGCCACAGAATCTAACTATATGTAAAGTGCACTTTCCGAGTCTAAGATGGAGATTATCTTTTTAGCCACAGAAACATTTGGAAACTTGCATATTTTCTAGATTTAAGCAGCCGGTCAAAGTGAGCAAAGTTTCAATCAAAATATCCACCAGCACAAAGCAAAATTGTGAATTTCTGAAGCACATTAATGTGCTGGCACTTCCATTTTTTCCACATTTTGTGTGACAGCCTTATTCCAAAATTGTATTAAATCAACATCTTTCCACAAAATTTGACACACAAATAACCCATTATAACATGGAAATAAGTTTTTTCTGAAAATTGATGAAAAATAGAGAAAACAAGAAAATACATTTTAAATAAGTGCTCACAGCATTTACCATGAAGCTCAAAACTGAGCTGCGTCTACATCTTAAATGAAGTTCGCCTGTGGTAAATGTAGCTGATTGGACTGAATTTGGAAAGGCACATGCTCATATAAGTAAGAATCCACAATTTAAAATTAAATTAATGTATGACATAAAGTAATCTGGACTGCAGAAATCAGAGGAGCTGTTTTAAGTTTGTGAAAAAGTGGACAATTTTCATCGATTCCAGCTCTAGAATCAGTTCTATAGTCTGTTTACAAGGTTTAAAAACATCCTCCAACTAAATAAAAATATGAAATCATTTTTGATAAATGTCTGATCTGCTGACGGATACCTTCCTCAACGGGAGCTGGACAGCCATTTGTCGAACTTTTCAGCTACAACAGCACGTGTGTACCTGCCAGTCAGGGATCCAGGTGGTGTGTCTGCAAATGTTTCCCTGCAAAACAAACAAACAAAAAAAAACAAGCGAAACATCAAACAAAGATAATGCAAAAAGAATGAAGAGGATTATTTGAGCTTCATTTGTAGGTTGTCTCTTCAAAAGAAACGTATCTCGACAGATACAGAACCTGTCTGAACTTCTGCGGGGAGACGCATCATTTTCTCCTCAGAAGTTTGTAAAGGCCATCAGGATAAGGTTGGCGGGGTAGTGTGACAGCATCTGGGCGTTGTCTTCAGCACTGTAAAAAGAAAAACAAAAGGAAAAACAAACAGAGCGAGTGTAGAGATTGAGATTCTGAGGAAAAAAACTGAATGAGTTAAAAGCAACGATGGTTTTTATTTTAAACACAATCCAAAGCATTACATTGTCAGGAGTCTCAAACGACAATAAATGTCATGCGTCCTAAATGTTGAGAATTTCTTCATCCACTGGAAAAAATGTATAATGAACTATGTTGCTAGCAGACAAGTCAGCTATAGCCAGCTTTTCCTTTAAAGAAAAACTTTTTTCTCAAGCTAAATGGGTCAATGACAAGGTTTCTCAAAGGCATTTTTAATCTATTTTTAAAAATGTAATTTATAGCATATATTTGAGTTTGTAACAATATTTTTAAGGATTTTTTTTTTTTTTTTTTTTTTACAAAAGATAGCACAGTTAAACGTGTAAAACTTGTATCCCTAATGTTTTGCAGGTAACTTTAAACATATTTAAACATGTTCATAAATCTTTACACTGGTTGTTCCACCATGGCAAGTTGACCAATCAACATATGAAATAAAAGTCGGTCAGACGAGTTCCTTTTACTCATTTCCAGGATTATTTCTTAATTTCATTTGACAACGTATTTCTGAAAATGTTAGGCATATAAACAGCCTCATCATTTTTGGACAAGTAAAATGTAGGCAATCAGCTGTCAAACACATGCACAAGTACTGTTGTCATAACCACTGAAGTAGCATATTTTATAGGCATTTGTTTAGATGGTGTCACCACCTTATATTTTAAAGTAGAGAAATTATGGAAATATTTTAATAGAATAAATCTATATTCATACTAAACTTCTTTAAAACTTGATTGTATTTTTAACTTGCTGATTAAACTACAGAAATTGTGATACTCCACTCAGCCACAGTAATAATCAACGCATATAAATGATCTAAATATCTGTGTAGGATGTCTACTATTGAATGGTTTGTGATATTTTCTGTAATTGTGGACTTAAAATGAAGTCAGTACACAGAACGGGGAGTTAGCTGCTGCTGCTGTTAGCACAAAAATATTAAACAAACCAGAGCCAACAGGGAATGATTAAAAAACAGCAACTCATGTAGTCGTATGTTTACAAATTAAAACTCAGTTTAAAAAAGTCCAAATTCACATTTTGTTCCGTTTAATACATCCGCTGACAGCACACCAAGCAACTTCGATTTAAAGCTTCACAAACAGCTGACCACGCTCTGCTCCGTAGTGAACAGCTTATGTGTTTTAAAATATTTACGGTGACAATTTTCCGTAAAAAGGAAAGCTATTTTCATCCATTTTTACTCTCAAAGTCTAAGCTCACCTCGCAAAATTCCTGCTTTTGAAAATTAGCTCGTCGTTTTCTCTCACAGCAGTTTTTTTTTTTTTTTTCCTGAACTCTGTCATGTTTTAGACGCGTCTCTACAACTGCACACCTGGCGTAAATGAAGCACACAGAACAATACTTTCCAACTGTTTTCCTCCTCCGTTTAAATGGCCAAAACTTGTATTTTTTAAGGTCCCACCAGCTGTAAAACAATAAAAAAAATATTTCCTTTTGGGAAATATGAGCAAAAAGTTAATGCTGCACACCATCTTGCTCAGACTGTGTAGGGTACAGTTGTTAGTAACTCGCAAGAGTGGAGCCCCCTGTCGGTGGAAGGTAGATGCTACGATTTCTTGATTCTTGCTAAGTTTCATGTGCACACACACACACATATATATATATATATTTTTTTTTTTTTTTATTAAAACATTTTCCAGTTTTTCTAGCACTCAAGAGCAAACAAATGCCTTAAAGTTACACAAGTTAAAAATGTTATATTTATGCACTTAAGCTAATTTTAAACTTAACGTTTTATAAATAGAAATTAATTTGATTTTGTTTTCAGATTTTTCTCTGAATTTTGCCACCTGTTTATATCATATTTGACCCAAAGAAGTAATGGCTGTGTAAATTTGCACTATTTTGATCTGCTTAGAAAAAAAAAAAAAGAAAAACTTGGCCTACATGTGCACAAGTTATTATTTTTTTATTTCCTTTGAAATGTATCCATTTAAATCTAATGTTTGCATGCAGTGAGCATGTGAAGCCAAAGTCAAAAAGAGGAACTACGTATGGAAATGACACATTTGGAAATAAAATGCAAATTATATGTAAAAATGCTCAGGTGTGAATTCAAAAAATATATAGAAAACCACCTGGATGTAATTTCCAGTCAAGAGAAAAGAGAACCTTCAATTTTATGCCCAACAACCTGATATTTTTACTTCTTTCAAGGGATTCAAATTTCAGTCTTTGCTCCGACACAAACTCCTTAATCAGCAGAATTTTTGCTACTGTACTGAAACAAATGGAGTTGTGGCTACTTTGTTTTGCTGCAAAGGAGTCTTCCTTTGAGTACATGTATCAGAACATATGCCACTTTAGTGTATTTCAATTTGTTGTTTGTTCTTAAAAGCTCATCAGAAAGATTGCTCCTACAGGAAGTACTAATTATATAAACTCAAGCTGCCTGTTGTCCCCAATTCTGCTCCATCATGCCAACAAGCCCGAAGGGGAAGAAAAGTCTGTCGCAACAGCCTTTAAGAAAGTGCCAGATGGTTTCTGAGAACATCACACACCAATGTGACAATGCGCATCAGCTGCACTGTTTTCCGCATTCGGGCAAATAAGTAAACAAAATTTAGTCAGTCAGTTAATCACTTCTGTGCCTCATAGCTGCGCGATATCTTCATTCCCCCCTCTAAAGACTCCAAAGCTCTTTGTTACGGTCAGCACTGAGCGTGAAGTTTGCATATTTCCATCGTTTTTTTTAACGAGATAATCTGGACACCGGCACAAAATAAGCTCCCCTTGCCGCGGCTCATTTGTCACCCTGATCTTAATCTAGCAGCCAAGTCATCTTCCTGTGTGGGCCACTCTCAGCTGCAGGCCAACAACTCCAGCTGCCATGAGGGGCTGTTTTGGCACACGGCTTCAAAAAAACTGAAGGAGTCACTTTGGATAAGGCCAGACTCATACAGACGCACAATAATTCCTGATTACGTTTCTCTTCTCCGCATAGTCTGGCATCATTACGCGCTCCCGCTTGAATACTGCGGCACTTTGCCACACATAATGGTCATCAGTTGTGCCTGTGGTTTAATCACTAAAATTTGTCTCCTAATTTGCCCACAAGCGTTTGGTGTTGATGTAATGAGAGGGACATGATGTTCCTGTGGTCGTGAAATATGCCACCAGAAGTTAAAAAAAAAAAAGAGAGAGAGAGAGAAACCTAATATTAAACAAGAGGTTTGTTCTCATTTTATTTGCTAAACACAAAGTAAATGTTAAATCGAAGGGGTAAGGATACCACAAAAAACAATCTTAAAGTTGTTTTCAGTTCCATGCAGGTACCCTTAAATAAAATCCGGTACAACAAGTTCCCTTCAGAAATCATTTAGCTACTAAGCACAGTCCTACTTACAATCAATTAAAACGCTCTGAAAATTCAAAGTGGGCCACAAATACCACCCCGCCAGCCAAACCGACGGGAATAATCCGAGAAGCAGCTGGTATTAGTCTGGCCTCTGTGGAAGACTCGTGAGGAAAAATTCGATTCGACTCAAAAATGCTCTAATCCATCCCAAAGCGACATCAAATGTCACAGCCAAGCATCTCCAAAGAGCCTTTGTGTTTGACGATGCTGTGGGCGGGAGGGATTTCTGGAAGCAGTCAGTCTTCCAATTAATCTGTACAGGCCTCTGACTGAAGACCGTTGCTGCACGACAAACGGCTCACATTCTGGGAAACTGAGATTATATTTCACTGTAAAATTTCCTAGATTACACTCAGTTGATGAGAACTGCTTACCCACCTCATTTGCTTTTGCCATCCCCCTTCAAATCTGCCTGGCTGCATGGTAAGAGATGTTGGCGTTGGGGATGTGATCCTCACCCATAAGCCCTCCTTCTTGGGGTCGTAGGTCATGTATTATTTGAACTTTTGAGATGCCAATCATCTAGTCCAAGTTGTAACAAAAACACATCCTAGATCCACAACATCCAAAACCAAAACTCTCTTTCTGATTGTCACCCCGACTCACTATTTAGACATCCACTCTCAAAATGTAAACACTCTCTAGTCAAAGCATACCTTGTCAGACTCTTTTTTTTTTTTTTTCTGTTTTTCCATCCCTTATCAGTGGTTTGGTTATTGTCACGGCAGACTCGTGTTTGGTTTTTCCCGTTGTTTCCCTCCCCGCCTCAGCAGTACGCTTTAGTTTAGTCAAATAAAAGGTATTTGTTTTGCTCTCCATCTGCCTCCGCCGAGTCGCCTTGAACAGTTCCCTCCGACGCATAGATGCATCCTGTGACAGACGTCAAGGAACATTGACAAACTAGCAGTACAGCATTGGGGGTGGGGAGGGGAGACGTGATTGGTGGTGTCTCTCAAAATCCGTGCAGCTGGAAGCCCAGAATGCGAGGCGTCTCTGTTGCTGTCTCACAATCAGTATCTCCCTTGGACAGTGTCAGATTGATTCTCTCCAATCAATTCCAATTACTGGTTGCTCTTTTTTTTTTGTTGTTGCTTTCTGCTTGGACGATTGTTCTTAAACGTCTAAAGAAGAACAAACGAGAAAAAGTCTTGCTGAGTTAGCAACCTGCTCATTTAGAAGGGACAGACCTAAAGGCGTTTGGAGTTTGGGTATTTAGTGAAATTAACCTTGCTTAATTTGAATGCGCCGAAGCTAAAAACACCTTTAAAAAAATGCATAAATCACAGGGGGTTAACCTAGTGGCAGTCACTGCTAGCAAAACCCACATTTATTTTAAATCTTTGCAACATCATCTTAGCAATTAGGCCTCAGCTTAAGAGCAAACCTGTCAATCAAACTGCTTTTAGCAGAGCCACGGATTAGACGTTTTTTCTTGAAGTTTGAGTAGGAGCTGCTCTTTTTTTCTTTCTCCTTGGTCTTTTAATGCCTCAGCGTTTCGTGGTAATTAGTCGGTTCTGTGGCCGCAAACAGATAAGAAAAGCAAAAAATAAAACACGTTTATGTTGAGAAACGCCAAACAATGACAGGCTTGTGTGGCAGCTGTAATCAAATATAGGCAAATGTCAGATTCCTGAGAGCAGATGGAAAGCAAAAAAAAAAAATCTACTGATTTGTTTGCTATTTATAGCCAACAGAGATTTTTATCTTGCTACAGATTTTATATGGGCACAAATTCACTCCTTTTATCTGTACAGTGTTCCACAAATGAAATGTATTTGATGATCTGAAAAAAAAGAAAGAAATAAAAACACCTTTTCCTGCTTTTTAGGGTTTCGTGTTTCCTTCCCTCCAGGTCACAAAGCGTCCTGCCAGAATCTGAGGCCTCGAACTCCTGTCAGGATCTGCGGATGTAAACAACTCAATAGGCTGACAAGAGCTCAGCCTCCTGCAATAACACTGCTGCGCTTTCCCACTGCTCCATTTGCTTTCATGTTCCTATCTTAAGAGTATGTCTACTCTTAGCAAACAGCAGAAAAAAAAAATAGATAGTTGAGGGATGCAGAGATGGAGAATTTTCTTCCAGTGCTGGTCCCACAGTTCCCTCCTCCCCATGAACTTCAAAGGGCTGTAAGTGAAACTTTCTGACATCTTGGTGTCGAATTTACCTTTATGGTAGAAGACAGAGAAGCTCCACCTATCTCCATCTTCAATCACTCACTGATTAGGTCAAAAGAAAAAAAAAAAAAAGATTTTTCCAGCTAATGTGCTTCCACTGTATCACTCAATGACAAACATTTGACATCTGCTAACCTACTTCATTGGATTGAGTCTGAGTCGTTGCCATGGTTTTAAGAGGCTCGGTTCGAGCTGCATAATTTTAGTCGCCCATACAGTGGACCATAACGTTTCGGAGCATTTACCTTTACCTCAATGTCTGCTTTCATCCAAAGTGGCCATTACTCAAACCTACCAACAGTGACAATGCAATCTGTGTCTGGAGCTCTACTTGCTTTATTTCTGCACCGGATTTCCAAAGCAAATTGCGCTAAATACAAGCCGGAGAGAAACGGGTTCAACAGACAGCACCGATTTTAGCATGCAGGAAGAAAGAGGCTTTCTTTAAGCTTTAACTGGACTGGCATGTAGCTTCAATTGAATCACTCCAGAAATATGTTGTTTGTGATTTCAATCAGTGCTCAGAAAACTTAGCCGCATAAAGGAAATTAAGACCTCACGAGAAGAACAAGTCAGTTCTTCCATCTGTAACTGACTTTTTATTGTACTGCTATCAGTGCAGGATGTTGCTGTTTTCCCTCGTTTTACAATTATCCGCAGCTTTAAATACTCTGGTTCTTTAAAGGGACAAACAGCATTAGTCATCGTGAATGCCAAGCATCTTGTACTGGCTGCGGTTTACAGAAATAGACATAAATATGGGCAGACGTTCCCCCAAATCAGAGGAGCTCCAACTCCATCTCTTAAGATCCAGTTCTTAAGCTAGCATCTTGCAACTTGTAAATGCATTCCAACACCAACACCTGAATAAATTGGTTGAATTACAGAATTTCCGAAATGCTTTTTTTTTTAGTTCTTGGCAATCCACAAGCTATTGGTTTGGATTTTGAGTGTGACGTTAACTAAAGTAAGTCATTGCTTTAGATGTTGTTCCGGATTCTTCTGTGACTTCCTGGATGCTTTTTGTATTCACGGAAGTCCTTATGCAATGTATATATAAAAATATGTTTTGTAATCTGAAACATTTAAATGAGACAAAAAAAAAAGAAGCAAAAATAGAAGGAACCAATAAGGGAGGAAACACTTTGTTTCATGTGTTGTATTCTTACTTTTTGGATTTCCAATAACAATCGAAGTGAACAAAAATAAATGCGAAATTAAAAATATCACTCCATTTCGAGAATTTGTATACAATGTAAGTTTGTTTTTTTTTGTTTTTTTTTAACAAAATTGCTGAGATAACTTTTAAATGGTACTCTAATCTACTGAGATGCAACTACACAGCAGTTTCTAGCTTATTTTTGAGAACATGGGGTGTTAGATAGTGCGCTGCATCTCGTTCGCTCTCTGGTCTCAGCATGATTTGGTGGCTCAAAAGGGAAAAGCATTTGCTACCCACAGGCCAAGCTGATTGGACTAGCTAATCAAAAAAAAAAAAAAAAAACGCGACTGATGAATCACAAAATTTAGACGTCTGCTCGCCCTGATACAAGATTTTGTTCTCCCTCCCTCCCCCCTTTTAGGCCCTTCACTAAGACACACTGTCACTTAATTTAAGCTCCGCAGCCTCTCAGAAATACAGTTCATTTCAAAAGCGATGTATGATTAGCTCTGGCCGCCACAGTCCTAATTGAAATGAGTTTGGGCCGTGCAGCAGGGGAGCCGGGACCGGGAGGGGGGGACGGCGCAGCTGCGTCGGCCCGGTTCTATTGGTCAGAAAGCAGTCGCTCGTCCCTTTTCACTCAGCAGCCTAATGATTTTTTCGCCGTTATTGGGATTGCTGATAAGGTCTTGTGAGGGGAGAGTTTGAGCAGAGCAAATTAGCAAAGACCACGCTGGCACACATCCGACTACAAAGCAACCAAAGTTCTCGCTAATTCACAAGCAAAGGAAAAAGAAAAGAAAAAAAAAAACTAAATGGGGATCAAGTTAATTTGCACCTCGATGCTGCTGAGCTGCAACTCGCCCTCTTCTATTTACCCATTCGATTCGACTCGTGTTCCACCGCGGCACCCGTACATAAAAGCAGCTCCGAACTACAGTTCAGCGGCGTCAGATATTGTGAACAACTCGAAAGCACGGCCGCAAAAAGTGTGTGAAAAGCCCTGAAGTGCCTTCGCAGTGTCAGCACAAGACACCCAACCCTTTCAAAAAAAAAAGAAAAAAAAAGACATTTTTCTCCCTGTTTAGACTCAAAGAATCAGAGGCTCGCTCGGCTGCCGCTTCAGGTCTGTTTCTACAGGACAGCCTCTGCAGAAAGGAGGAAGCGATTGAACGAGGCTCATGTCGTCGGATTCTTGCAACGAAGATAGAAAACACTACTGAAGCCCCAGGTGGACGCACTTGTTGCCGTAGCAATAACTGGGGGGGGGGGATGGATACAATGGCGACACCCTGTTTCGATTTGATTTGCAAATCATCGGTCGCGCCGTTTTGCTGCTGCCAGTGGCTAATTATTATTCACACTTGGGGGACGACAATGTGTCATCTTCCATTTGCTGGAGGATGAGGGCGATATGGCTCAAAATGCATGTTTTCCTCGCGAGCGGGAGCCGGTGTTTCGCCGGAGGCCCAAACATTTCACTGGCGCCTCATTCCGGTAGCTCAAGAAAACCTCCGGGCCTCGTTTTTTGCTATGCGTGTAATTGATATGCTGCGAGGGACGCGGCACTGTAAGCTCTTTCAGTTGTATGCCGCTGGATTGTTCAATCTCAAAGGATTATCAGAGTTACATTTCATTAGGAGATATCGCAGTTGGGAGAGGATATTTCTGCTTCTTTTGAGGTTTTGTGCTAATAAATCACGCCAGGAAGGGTAAGGAGTGCAAAACAGAAGGATGATCCATTCTTTGTTATCTCTTTGGCTCCGCGGTCCAGTCCGAACTGGAAACTCCCAAGAACAAAGGAGATATCATCACACATCGGTCGGTAAACTGGGTAATTTATTATACCTGAAAGTAACTAGAAATCCAAGCGGAACTGATAAGATAACCGAGTGAAAAGCAATTTGAAAATTCCTCCTAAGGGATGTTTTCCACTGCTGGAATGTGTGCTGGAAATCATGTGTCTGGAAAAGCTGGGGAGCTGGTTGCTCCGGGGCCGTCAACTGGTGCGATCCAGCTGACGACGTGACGTGCTGCCAATGCCTCAAGGGGGGACAGGTGGAAGCTCAAAGCTGGCTTCCTGTTTCTTGTGGGATCTTGATCCAAGAGGGACCAGAAGCAGCGTGACACCAGTGTTTGGACAAGATGACGGGAAAAATGTGTAGTGATGTGCATTGGCTCGGCTAGATACCTCTGCAACTAGCCAGCAGGATTGAACCAAAGTAAGATTTATAGTTTATATTTATAAGGAAATTGTAGCTTGATCTTAACCTTATGTTTTGATATTCTAACTATCAGAGAGATTTGTTGGTCATACTGTCAAAAAAAAAGAAGAAAAAAAAGACATTTCAATTTCATTTTTTGGCTTTTTATTTTAGTTTTTATAAACAAAAATTGGTCAAGTAGAAAGACAAACAACTCCAGAGACGACTACGCCTTCGACTCTTCTGAGAAACATCTTCACACTGGATTACGTATTAGACGCAAAAATAACTTTGTCACAACATGCAGTTAATCCCATGGCGTGAATCAACAAGTCCCTGCACTCTATAACCCCTCAGGTGTGCATCAACTGTCTGCTTTACATACACAGCAGTAGGACAAACTCTGTAAGAAATTGTTTAAATAACTTGGACAAAGAGTTATTTTTAGTAACGTTTCCCCTAAAGGTAAATATCGGCTGAGTGTGTTGCGTTTCTCTCCGGTCCCTACAGACCTTGTAGGTTGAACCATGGGCGTAGGTTTGGGTAGGGACGGTAGGGACATGTCCCGACCAATATTCACGGGATATGAAAAAGTCCCGACCAATTTTTGCCATATTGGCTCAAAGAACGTGGATCTACGATCTTTGATTAGCTGCAAAAGGCGGCGGCTAGCTGGGCACACGCGTCTCCTTCTGAGTCTCCGAGACCATGTCGCCACCAAAAAAGAAAAGGACAGACATTAGAAGTTATTTCGCTACGTCGGCTGTAAGTACAGTGAGTGGACCCATAAGTTAGATATCTATCACGCAACGCATTTGTTGTAAAGTCCGGTGTTTAGTAAGGTCAGCACTGAATGTGAGGTAGAATAGGTCTGTTAATTATGAAATATTTTTTCACATAGGATGCTCAGACAGCAGAGCAAGGGGCAGAGCAGAACGATGGAGAGGTGGCTGGAGCTTCAGGGCTCCAGGTGAGGTGTTAGTTCTCAGATATGAAATATACTGTGAAATTATCTCTGTATGACTGTATCTGGTTGTATACACAAGATGTATGATATGGTTATGGTTGGGGGGAGGGGTTATTAAGCCAATGTGGTTTCCGCCCCCCTTCTCAAAAATGTTCGGTGCTCTTGGGCATTTCACTGTGCTGCCGGGGGGGGGAGGTCAAGGTCCCCACCAAAACTTAGACCGAACCTACGCCCTTGGGTTGAACTCACAGTCAACAACAACTTGCATGCACAAATCCATCTTCACCAGGTGCTGCTGTTAAATAAGAAAAAGAAAAAAATAATCATGTACTTACATAATGGTAGTCACGTTGAAACTAACCAGACCTTGCGAAAGGTCCACAACTCCCTCAATCACTTGAAAAAGCAATGTTAGCCCTTGAACTTTTTCACATTTGGGAATGGTACAAACGACTTAAAAGTGTTTTATGAAGCATAAGAAAAACATTTAATGGGTTTTTACAAATTGGCGTTTGAAAAGTGTGGCATATTCAGCCTCCCTTGGCCTTCCACATCAACATCCACAGCAAACTCTAATAAAATACAAAAAGTCACAAGACCAATTAGTTTGACAGCTGTCATGTCAACCTGGTGATGGCACTCTCTAGTCTTCTTCTCTGACTGATGCTACTTGCCTGGCTGCTGTGTGTCTACCATTAAAATCCTAACAAATCCATTGAATTTTATGGTTTTTCAATGACAAAATACAAATCAGTGCATTTGCTTTTACTGCTGATTGTAAACCAATGTAGCATTGCAGTCTACTAGCTCAGGCAATTTTATTTGCCTTGTCATATATTTAGGCATCTTGACCTGCGTTTTGACCGAAATGCTCACCAAACTCGCTCCTGGTATCCCTCCTTCCTTTTTCTTTTTATGTAACTCCTTAAGACTCCCCAAAGACTTGTGTGCGTGAGCAGTAAGGGGTTGGATGACGCATCAGAATTTGCTGCCTCCGTAAATAGATGTTGCTATGGAAGTCACGGCTCAAAAGGTAGCACAATACTTACTGTTTTTCATTATAACAATGCATAATCAAAGAACCCACCTACAGAATCACATGTTGTACGGCCTTATGGAAATAAATCTGGGGAAACCAGGCCTCCACTTAGTCAGTTGTCTCTTTCATTCTGTCTCCCACAGTCATCCAGTTTCACCCGCTTAACTGCTGCTGTCACTAATACCTCGACTGACCCGTTTTGGGAAACAATGTTCCGATATAGGTGTTTTTGGAATTTAGCGAGGCTCTAAATTTAGTTTTCAGTAGGTTATTTTTCTACCTCTCCCAACTCCTTCGTTTTTATTCTAATCAAAGGAAATTGTTCCTTTGCTCAATTTATAAGAAGTGTCAAAATCTCCATAAAATGAGTCTAAAAATATTATTTTGCCTGCTGATCATTAAAGGAGCTTATACTTGGGCATCCTATTTTTTACTCCTATCTATATCTCCGCCTTATCTTTTCTTCTTTTATCTACTGTCAAAAGCAGGAGTCATTATTTTGCAACATGCCCTCGGTCCAGTTCTCCAGACAGTGGAAGAGCGGCTCAGAAGCAGTGCCTTACCTTCCACATCCGCACACACCTCTAATTGCCAGTGCCTGTCCTTTTCACTGAGTCATTAATACCATAATGCACTGTGACATCTGTCTTTGGGCCAGAAAGCAGAGCTCAGCTCGCTGTGGTCAGCCGTATAGACGGAAAACAACAAAAAAAACAGGAGTCTGCAATATCAAGGGGTGAGCTGTAAAACACATCCATCAGGGCTTTTACTTTAATCCTTTAGGTATCATCCCGAGACGGAGCAAATTATAGCCAGCCAAGTTGGATAAAATCAGAAAAACTCCCACTGAGATGCACTACTCTGAACGTAGGCAGGGGAAAATGCAAAAGCTCGTGTCCATCTGCACGCGTTCCTCTCCCGCTTCATGATTTACCCGGAGTGTGGGTGGCTTTCTTCACACATGGGCTTAATCAGACACCACCTGCGAGAAAAGGATGCAGCAGGAGAACTTTTTGCATAGCGTCTGCTCCAACTCGCATGGGCTTTTCCACATTTTGCAACGTCGCAACGCGGTTCATTCTGACATGAATATGAAGTGGAAAGGAGAAGATGTATTTTTACAAAAATAAAAAAACAACTGTGATATGCATTTGGATTTAAAACCCCTTTTACCCCAGTACCCCACCAAAAAAAAAAAAAAAAAAAAAAAAAAAAAATTCAGGCAGGCAAACTGTTATAAAACACAAAAAGGGTAATGTTT